GAGGGCTGCTGGGATGGCTAATGACATAATGGAGGAAAAGCCCTTTGAGAATGTTTCAAGGGAGACACAGCAGAAACTATCCTCATTAACAATAGATGCCTGGGATGTTCACTGCCTGCCCAGGCTCAGCACTTCCATGGATGGCTGCCCAGGAGATGCTCAGTTATTTCGCCAGCTGCTGCTGAAAGTTTGGGGTGGGAAGGGTGGTAATGGGGTGTAAAGGTACTGAGAGGCTGAGAAGACATGTGCCCTGTCCTAGCCCAGGCACTGCCTGCCCTTCCAAGCTCATCCCTGCTCACACATCCTCGTTGGTGCCCCTATAGATATTGTCCTGGAGTCCCCAGTTAGGTAAGAGCACGCTGCTGTTTCCCTGACAGGAGGCACCTTACCTGTCTTCCTTTGCCTTTTCCAGTATAAGTCAAATACCTACATTTCCCTGACATGACTGTGCAAGGAATTCATAACTACTATGGATTTTTTTTTGGGGGGGTGCTGAAAAGTTTGGTACTGTTTCCTAGCAAATAATTTAATTATCCAAAGAAAATGATGGGACATTTGCCTCTGAATTCATTGCAAGCTACCAAAGAGACACGCTGGCATCATGTCATTCAGAGCGCCAGGCTGCAGCACAGGGGGACCGGCTGCCTACTCGGCCTGAAACAAGCAAATGAATTAAATTCACCACCCTGGAGATCAATCAGGGCATTAAACACTGGGATGAATGTAGTAAACCTCTTCAGTGCCTGAGATTTACGGGGTATCTTTCACCAAGCATTCTAGGACCCTCCCCAACACCAATTAGGCCTTATAACTAGGTAGACTCTCTACCTCCACTGTATAAAGAAGGGGCGTGGGTTCTGGGGCTGGGGTATGTTAAATGCCACAAGGGACAGCCAGTGTGCAGACCAGTTCCAGAGTGTAGTACAGAGCCCTGCATCCCTGGGCAGAGTAGCTCAGAATGGAGGGATGCCAGGCTGGGACTTGGGATCGGGGCCCAGAGTCCATCATGTTCCTCATGCTTCTGGACTTC